CCAGTGGCTCTGCAGAGGAGGCTCGGGGCAGGCGGCTCTTCATGGCCCGGAGCCCGGTCAGCGCAGCCAGGCAGGTCAGCCCCAGCACGGCGTCCCCAGCCCTGCAAGAGGCACATCAGTGCCACCCACACACGGCGTCCCCAGCCCTGCAAGAGGCACATCAGTGCCACCCACACACGGCGTCCCCAGCCCTGCAAGAGGCACATCAGTGCCACCCACACGCTGTGGGCACAAGGATAGCCCCAGGGGAGGGGAGGGTGTGTCACAGAGCTGGGCAGAGACGGAAAAATCGCTCCAAGGTGTGACCCAAGGGATGGGGAGCAGAGCCCAGGCTGCGGTGGCTGCGGGGGAAGGGGAGGAGCAGGGCAGGGACGGTGCCCACCTGCTCTCCCCGATCCTCCGCAGCGTCTCGTAAACCTGCAGGAAAAACTGCCTCGGGATCCCCTGCAGCCCCAGAATGTTCTGTGCAGGAACACACAGCCTGGTGACAGCCTGGTGACAGCCTGGCACAGCCCCGTGACCGCAGCCATTGGCCAACACCGGCTCTCCAGCGGCTGCCACAGGCTCTGATTTGGGTTAACCACAGAGGAAGCGTGGCAGCCCAGCAGAGCCTCGGGTCCCTGCCAGGCCAGCGAGGGGCTGCTGGGGCTGAAAACCTCCCCTCCTGCCCTCCCAGCGCTGCAAACCCACCGTGCCATGGAATCACACCCTGCCTCCTGCAAGTGGCAAATCAAATGTCCCGGTTTTACTGGGGTCCTGGTTTTACTGGTGTCCTGTTTTTACTGGTGTCCTGGCTGCCATCAGCTGGTCACCCGGGTCAGAGGGTGTGCTCAGCTTGGTCTGCTCAGAGCAGAGTGCTCAGGGACCCAGCAGAACCCCTGGCAGGGGTCCCATGACTCTTTTGGGGCTCCTTCTTCTGGCACCATGACCCAGCCCGGTACAAAATATCCCAGTGCAGCATCCAGGATGGGACAGATCCTACCTTGACCTGGTTAAAACTGATGGTGATGGAAGCAGCCGATGTAAACCCTTTAATGACAGGGCAGGAAATGAAATCCAGAAGGAACCCTGCATGGGATGGGAGGCACTGAGCAAGCTGCTGGCCCCAGTGGAGCCACAAAGCTGTCACAAATGTTAGCAGGACAACCCCAGTGTCCCACAGAGCAGAGAGGAGGCRAGAACAGCTACAGGATGTACAGCAATACCCTAAAAATCTATCTGTGCATGGCAGGAGCATCTCACCGAGGTGCAGGAGCCCCATGGCCAGCTGAATGCAGCCGGACAGGAAGGCGAGGAGCACGGCATAGACGGGCTCGTGGAAGGCGTACGAGGACACCAGCAGGGACATGATGGCCGTGGGTCCCAGCGTCACGTCCTTGGCAGTGCCCAGGAAGCAGTAGACGAAGCAGCCCATGAAGGAGGAGTAGAGACCGTACTGCAGGGGCACAGAAGGGGCATAGAAGGGACATAGAAGGGGCATAGAAGGGGCACAGAAGGGGCACAGAAGGGGCACAGAAGGGGCATAGAAGGGGCACTGGCACAGCCCTGGGAGCTGCAAGAGGCCAGACACCTCCCAGACCAGCAGAGCTGGGCCGATCTCCGGGCACTCCAGGGCCCTTGGCACACGCATGGCACCGTGTCCGGGAAATGGGGACCGCACAGGGCCAGCCCTCGGTCACCCAGCCCAGCCCAGCTCAGCCCTGCCCGTGGCTCGGGGGTCCCGGAGCACCCCGCTCACAGCGGTGCGGGGAGCGGGAGGTGCCCGGTGCCATTCCCGGTCCCTGGCACCCACCTGCAGCGGCAGCCCGGCCAGCTCGGCGTAGGCCAGCGCCTGGGGCACGGTGGTCAGTCCCACGGCCAGCCCGGCCAGCAGGTCCAGCGGCAGCCAGGCCCAGGAATAGCGCGGGAGCCACCGCAGGATCGGCAGCGCCGGGAGCGGGCAGCGG